TGCAGGTGGAGAGGCTGACCAAGGAGTTCTCCATCTACATGACAAAGGACGGCCGCATCTCTGTGGCAGGGGTCACCTCTGGCAACGTGGGCTACCTTGCCCATGCCATTCACCAGGTCACCAAGTAATTTCCCTGGCGGGAGGAACCAGAGACAACCTTCCTGCCTATGGCCCCTGCTGTTGTGAGATTCACACGGAGAGAGAAGGAGGGTGGATGGTGGTGAGCAGGTCCTTTCTTTCAACCACAGTACACAATACTCAACCACTGAATGTGTTTCACAGAAAAGAACATGTAGTGAAATAGGGCAGAGGCATCCGTGGCAGGTGTCTGAAACTTTGTGGCTCAAAACCGAACTCCTGCTCATCCTTTAACCTCAGCTATTCCAAAAGAGTTTACATGTACAAGAAAGACATAGCCCCAAAACCATGTTGATCATGCCATTGCAATATTTCAGAAGCTTTAACTGCAGCATCTTATGGTGTTGGGGCACTTCTAGATCCAGCATGAGAACAGCACCTGCAAGAGGTGTTGTGGGAAGAGCTCGTTCTAACATTGACAGGCAGCCTTGTGTTTGTCCTCCCGCGATCGAGCAAGCTTATCAACAGACCTCGTTACAGAAATCATGTTTCGTGAAAACCAGCAAGTCTGCTGCCACTACAGTGAGGAAAATAAAAAGATGCTGTTTCCTGTCTTATTTAAGGAAAAAAAAAAAAACGTTCTTCTTTTCAATACTTTCAGGCATTTTAATGTTCCTCTCTTTTCCCTTATCATTGCTGTTCTTTTCCTTGGGCACAGAGATCTATAACTAGCCTACATTTTCATCCTGTGCTACTGCTTGATTGACCACCTGCCCCATGCTCTAGGCTTTCCTTATTTAAAGAACCAAGAAGATAATTTCCTACTCCTCCCGTACCCTCACCTTTCTCATCAGAGAATAGCAGAGAGTAGGTAACGGCACTTGAGTTCAGCATCGTCTTCAGTGATTGATTGTCTGCTGTCGGGATGTCGCCTCTGCCCGGTTGGATCCATTCATTCAGTACGGTTGTGCGGTCTCTCTTCTCACACCATGAGCGCAATGCAGGGCAGAACCAGACAAGCGGACCTCTGCACTTCGGTTTTAACCTCTGTGTGCTGCCAGCTGGGCTCAGGCTTCACCCTTTGGAAAGATAACCACCATCTGCTCCAATCATGTAGACTTCTTGGCAGCCTGGTTTCTCTGCTAAAATAAAGTTACCGTAGACCCCACCACTGTCTACTATGTTCTTCTTTAATGGGAGGAAAGGCTAGGAGTGGCCGTATGTCCCAGAAGCCTGCAGGCCTATTCAGCTGCCCGTAAGCCAGTAGGCGTGTGAGCTGTTCCGAATGTAAACAAAAGCCACATCTTCGTCTTTGTCTTGCCATTCGGCTTGTCCAGTCCAGCAGTGTTGAAAATGTGGGTATAATCCTTTGGACTCTGGCAGACAAGTGGAATACCTCGAAGGAAACTGTAGCTAGAGCAGGGATGAAGAAGCGGAGGGGCAGTGACGACTTGAGGTGTCTACAGGAGCCAAGTAGGTAATAGAAGCAAACAGTGAATGTAAAGTAAAAAAGGGATGTGAAATAGATAGATCATGACTGGTGAGCAGCCTTCATCCTCAGTGTTGGGGAGTGGTAGGGAAGTGACAGCACCAAGAGAATCGAAGTTCAGGGTTTCAGGTCTTAAGTTGTGGTTTTTTTGGTTTTTAAGATTTTATTTATTTGACAGGAGCGGCAGACAGAGGGAGAAGCAGGCTTCCCACTGAGCAGGGAGCCAGATGCGGGGCTCGATCTCAGGACCCTGGGACCATGACCTGAGCTGAAGGCAGACACTTAACCAACTGAGCCACACAGGCGCCCCAGGTCTTAAGTTTTTTTAAATAAAATGGAAATCCTGGTTTTTATGGGAGGTCTGTTGATGCTTAAAAGTTGGCAACTAATTCAGTTGTTTTAAAATGATTTGCTAGCAAGATGCAAACAGTAGTTTGCCAGTGTGCAACCTTTAACACGAAGTCATGTGCTGTCAGCAGACATCTAGCAGGGGCACCTGCTTAGCATCAGTCCTCCCAAGGTTATTCTGTCCCCTTGTGCTTAGTGCTAGGAACCATTCGAGATGGGCCAGCTACTGACCAGACAGACAGTGGAACAGGACTCAGGCCCAGAGCCCATCCACAGTGTTTTGACATTTCGGGGGAAAGAAGAAAGTGACCTCTTGTTTCTCTTAGCTCCCTGAGGGTCACGGTGCACAGGGCATTCCTGACCCTTGGTTCTTCTGTGTTCCTGTTGCCAATGGAAATACCAAGGTGGTAAAAGGAAGTGAATGGACCAGATCTCGGGGTGTCTTTGGAAATATCTTAAAAGGAAAAGCAATAAATAATATCAACTGATCCATAAAGGGACTGACTGCTAAGTCTCCTTGTCTGGAGCCAAAAGGTTGAAAGTTGGCTGCCAAGACCTCAACCAAAAAAGGAACTTAACCACCCTGCTGACTTGTTATTTTTAAACACATGTATTACCAGCACACTCTGGACCAAGTCCCATTCCTCACTGAAAACAGAGCTGGTGGGTATGAACCTGATGCTTCTCTCTACTGTTCAGACTGTTAGCTTCACCCCTTCCTAGTTTCTTAGTCAGGCTCTAAGATGTTAATGTTCTTGCCCATGATGGAGGAGGTGGTTTGCCTACTCAGAAGAGTCATGCCTTTGTTCTGTTATAATTTAAGGTATAATAGTTCCCAAATCTGAATTGATTTTTTTTTAAGATCTTATTTATTTATTTGACAGAGTGCAGAAGCAGGCAAAGCGGCAGGCAGAGGGAGAGGGAGAAGGAGACTTCCCACTGAGCAGGGAGCCTGACGTGGGACTCAATCCCAGGACCCTGGGATCATGACCTGAGCCGAAGGCAGACACTTAACCGACTGAGCCACCCAGGCATCCCTCCTTGGAAAAAAAAAAAATTTTTTTTAAAGATTTTATTCACTTATTTATTTGAGAGAGCGAGAATGAGAGAGAAAGAGAGCACACATGAGAGGGGGGAGAATCAGAGGGAGAAGCAGACTCCCTGCTGAACAGGGAGCCCGATGTGGGACTCAATCCCTGGACTCCAGGATCATGACCCAAGCCGAAGGCAGTCGCTTAACCAACTGAGCCACCCAGGCACCCGAAAAAAAAACTTTTAAACTCTTTCCTTACTTCTAGGCTTGGGAATTTGGGGGATTTTTTTGATTTTTGTTTTTAATTTTGGGGGCTTTCAGAAATTACTAGTTTACTTTTTTTTTTAAGATTTTATTTATTTATTTGTCAGAGAGAGAGCACAAGCAGGGGCAGGCAAAGTGAGAAGCAAGTTCCCCACTGAGCAGGAAGCCTGATGCCGGACTCAGATCCCAGGACCCTGAGATCATGACCTGAGCCGAAGGCAGAGGCTTAACCAACTGAGAGGCCCAGCCATCCCACTAGTTTACCTTTATATCCAGTAACTGAAAGACCAACTTTTTCAAAACAACAATCTTATTAAAAAATGTTGAGATTAGTACTGCAAATCACATATCTGATAAGGGACTTGTATACAGAATATATAAAGAACCAGTACAAATCAGTAATACAAAGACAACCTGCTTAATAACTGGAAAAGGGGTCTGAATAGACATTTCTCCAGAAAAGACATACTAATGGCCAATAAGCACATGAAAAGTTGCTAACAGCAGGGAAATGCAAATCAAAACCACAATGAGAATCTTTTCATACCCACTAGGATGGGTATAAGGAAAAAGAGAAGACACCCAGGGATATCAAGTATATGGAGAAATTGGGAACTTATACACTGCTCATAGGAATGTAAAATGGTGCAGCTGTTTTGGAAAGCAGTCTGGCAGTTCCTCAAAAGTTTAAACAGTTACCATTTGACTCAGCAATTCTACTCCTATGTAAGTACTGAGGATAAATGAAAACATGCATCCATACAAAAACGTATGTGAGTGTTTATAGCACTGTTACTCACACTAGCCAAAAACTGGAAACAACACAAATGTCCAGTCAACTGGTGAAATGAATAATCAAAATAGGGAATAGCCCAACAATGGCATATTAACCAGCAATAAATATGCTCCAACGTGGATGAACCTTGAAAACAGTAGAAGGCAAAATATATGTGATGAGAAGGTCACATATATTAATCTGTCTGAGGTGGATGTTCTTGTGACACAAGGTCACATATGATTCTATTTTTATGAAATGTCAAGAATGGGCAACTCCGTAGAAACACAGAGTAGATTAGTAGTTTGCAGGGGCTTAGAGAAAGCGGAGACTGGCTGCTCATGGTTACAGAGTTTTAGGAAGAGTGACAGCAGTGTTCTGAAATTAGGCAGGCTGCAAAACTCTGAATATACTAAAAACCACTATACTGGACACTTTAAAAGGGTGAATTTGGGGGCACGTGGGTGGCTGAGTCGGCTAAGCATACAACTCTTGATTTTGGCTCAGGTCATGATCTCAGGGTCTTAGGATCAAGCCCCATATGGGGCTCCCCCCGCACTTCTACCCTAGGGCTCACTCTGTCTCTCACTCTCGCTCTCTCTCTCTCTGAAATAAATCTTTTTTTATTTTGTTAAAGATTTTATTTATTATTAGAGAACAAGTGGAAGGAGGGGCAGAGGGAGAAGGAGTCTCCTGGTAGAGCAGGGAGCCTGACGCAGGAATCCATCACAGGACCCTGGGATCATGACCCCAGCCAAAGGCAGACGCTTAACCAACTGAGCCACCCAGGATTAAAACTAACAGGATAAGCATGGTGAGCTGGCCCGCAGAGGGTCTCCGGTCAATGTTGCGGGGTTGAGGATTCAGGGAGCTGGTGCCTTCCAAGACCAAAGCCTGTGGAAAACTACAACTCCCAGCGCCTCCCGCGGCCCGCAGGAGTTCCCGGCGGTCATGTGACCGCGGCTCACGTGTCCTTGCAGCCGGCTCGGGTGTGAAGCAGTGTAGGTAGGTGGAGGAAGGTAGAGGTTGTGCCGGGTGGAAGCTTAAGTCCCGGGGCCTTAGGGCCCCCGCTGCGGCAGAGTCTTGCCCACTCCCTGCAGGGCTCGGAAGCCCGGCGTCCTCGGTCCCCCGCCCGCCCTCAGTTGGGCCGGCTTTGCCCAGCCTAGCCCCACTGTCTCCACTTGGTGCTAGGCCCGGATCGAGTCCCGGAGCGTCTCCCTAGCTTACCTCACAGCAGCCTCTTCGCCTTGCTTCGGGCCAGGGGATCCTCCCCTCCGCTCCGGGTGCGCCCTGGCCCTCTTCCCAATGCAACCCACCCTGCGGTATTTCTGGGATCCAGCCCCAGGCTGGACTGGGAACCCGCTCCGATTGGAATGTGAGGGGGCCCGCGGCAGTGGTTACAGCTCTGGCCTGAGCCTGTGGATGTCAGGCTTGTAGTTCTGATTCTGCCAACTACCTGCTGTGACATTCCCTTTACCCTTCCCTGGGCCTGTTCCCCTGATTGATCTGGTGTCAGAGCTTCTCAGTTTCCTTCACTCTGCTGACCAGCGCAGAAACAGCTCAAACTCTTCTCTCTGCTGACAGCCGATTTTAGGTGAAGTTTTGAGAGAGAAAAGATTGGGGCCAGCGAGGGAAGTGAGGAAAATCAGATCCCAGATCTTTGGGGAGAAAGAGCTGTAAGGAGCAACACACCCTCCACCTTAGACCATCAGGTGGAAATAGCAGGTAAGCTGGGAGTTGTGGAGCTGAGGACTTTTCTGGGAAGGAGAGCTGAGAACTCTTGGACCAGCGCAGAGACCTCTGTGTCTGAGACGGAAGCAGGGTGGATGAGGAGGTCTCACAGCTCTGGGAGTGCTGACTTAGCAGGGCTCTGTCTGGAGCTATGCTGGAAAGCTGGGAGCCCCAAACTCTACCTCCACTACTCACAGCTTTGATTTTTTGCTGAGTTACTGGTTGGGTAACAGGTTGCATAAGAGGAAGCCCTGTAGCATCTGACTGATCTTTCTGGACTTGGAGCCGGCAGAGAGAGATTCCCTCTGGAGCTGAGGTGTATGCTTGGTGACAGTTGTCTGAGAGCATCCAAATTCTTCCTTTAACCTCTCAGGAGTGTACGATTCCCACCTTTGTTCAGCCATCACCAGGAGGAGAAATGAGAAGCATCTGACTACCTAGGGGGTCTCATTAGCCATTCTAAACCCCCCAGTGTACTGAGGGCATCAGAGGGATGCCTCTCTGATGGGCGTGGTTAGGTCAGTCGCTCGGGAGAAGAGTGAGAATTAATTAGCCTTGAATTTTGAACGGCTTTGAAAGCTACGCAGAATTTAGACTCTGAGCCAGAGGGAGATATGTGGGACTGTAATACATTGAAATACCCCCAGTTCTAGGTGAGGGCTGCTCTTGCAACTCTGGTGTAGAAACAGGCTGAGAAGCCAGATAGATTTAGATCCAAATCCTGTCTTGCTAATATGTGACCCTGGGTCAGTGATATGATCTTTCTGAACCTTATGACCACTGTGGTAAGGACTGAATGAGATAAGATGTGTCCATGATACTCCTGCCCAACATGGAGACTCTCTGTCGTGCTGATGTGTTAGTACTCCTCTGTTTTATGTTTATGTCTTATTGACCCTGAGGGTCTGTAAGTCTGAAGCAAGCAAGATTCGCATCGGATGTATTTCTGTCTCTGCCACCCTGCACTGTGGCACCCATCGCCGTTTTCTGTACAGAGGCACCCCTGGGTTTGAGTCTCCGCCATCTGACCTTCAGAATGTTGTTTCAGCTTTCTGTGCCCATCCCAGGGTAACAGTAGTACCTGTCTCTCCCATCTAGGTTGAGAAGAGCTGGAGCTCACAGGCCTCCTGGGATCATAGTTCCAAACAGGCTGGCACCACCCTCCAGCTGAAGGTGTTCCCTCAGCTGCCCAGGGGATGTGATTGTGAGGCCAAATCTGCAGACCCCGCGGGAAGAGGGCTCCCGGGGCCATGGCCGAGGTCAGCATCAACAGTGACCTCGGCGAGTGGGGCTCGAGCTCAGACTCCGGGGAGCGGGCCCGTCTGCTGCAGAGTCCCTGTGTGGACACAGCCCCCAAGAGCGAAGGGGAGGCCTCTCCTGAGGGTCCGGGCAGAGGCACCACTTCCACCATTGGGGCCATCTTCATCGTCGTCAACGCCTGCCTAGGTGCAGGGCTGCTCAACTTCCCCGCAGCCTTCAGCACCGCAGGCGGGCTGGCGGCCGGCGTCACACTGCAGATGGTGAGTGTGCTGGCCGCTAGGGCAGAAATGCACTTCGGGTGCTGGGTCTGGGTTCTTCCCCCAGAAGAGAGGTTTTGCATCCGGGAGAGTCAGTGCATGACACATGCGGCCACTCTCCCCACCCTCACACTTGGCAGACATTACTAATCTATTCCAGCATTCTCTCCTCTGAGCCCAGATGAGGCTTCAGAGCGCTTCCCAGCAATCAGGGAAGTTTGGACATCGGCTGCAAAATGAATAATTGTGTAGTGTATGTCTAAAAAATGAGCCCTTTTATTTTATTTTTTTTTTAAGATTTTATTTATTTCTTTGACAGAGACACAGCGAGAGAGGGAACACAAGCAGGGGGAGTGGGAGAGGGAGAAGCAGGCTTCCCACAGAGCAGGGAGCCCGATGCGGGGCTCGATCCCAGGACCCTGGGATCATGACCTGAGCCGAAGGCAGACGCTTAACGACTAAGCCACCCAGGCGCCCCGGGCCTTTATCTTTTAGAACTACATGCTGAACTATTTACTGGTGACATAATTTGGTAGCCTCTATTTCCTTCCACATAATCCGGGGGGGGTGGGGGAGAGTAGCAGAAACAACATGGGCCACGAATTGATTATTTTTGAAGCCGAGTGATGGGTGAATGGGGGTTCGTGATACCATCCGGTCCACTCTTGTGTATGTTTGAAATTCTCCACAAAACTTCTGTTTTGAGAGAAAACCTCAACTCGGCAGCCTCCAGCAATCTGGTAAAGTTGCCCACAAGATGAGACTCATTTACCAAACTGGCTTCGGGCATTGGCTTAGTAAATGCTGAGCAAGACCAGGCTGCCCTTTGCTGCCAGGCCTTCCCCACACCCTCTGGCTCTGTCCTGCCTGCAGGGCATGCTGGTCTTCATCATCAGCGGCCTCGTCATCCTGGCCTACTGCTCCCAGGCCAGCAACGAGAGGACCTACCAGGAGGTGGTATGGGCCGTGTGTGGCAAGCTGACAGGAGTGCTTTGTGAGGTGACCATTGCCATCTACACCTTCGGCACCTGCATCGCCTTCCTCATCATCATCGGGGACCAACAAGACAAGAGTGAGGCTCCCCCTCCAGACATCCTTCATCCCTCCCCCTCGGCCCTGGGGATCCCCGGGGGAGGGAACAGGCACAAACACCTGCCCCGGGGCCTAGCCTGGGTCCAGCATTCTTCTGCAAATCCTCCCTCCTGGCTGCTGAGCCCATTACACTGATGGAGGCCCTGAGGCTCACCAGAGCAGGAGGGCTGCAGTCTGCAGGGGCCTGGCGTGATGTTCCCTCCTTCCTTCCTGTGCAGTTATAGCTGTGATGGCGAAGGAGCCTGAGGGGGCTGGCGGCAGCCCCTGGTACACAGACCGAAAGTTCACCATCAGCCTCACGGCCTTCCTCTTCATCCTGCCCCTTTCCATCCCCAGAGAGATCGGCTTCCAGAAATATGCCAGGTTCGGAGACCCCATCCCAGCCCAGGCCAGACAGAAGCTCTAATCACAGGCAGCTAGAGACCCAGGCACTGCTGGAGAAGCCCTCTCCTTCTGGGGCAGCAAGAGCGGGCAAGGCAGGGTGGGTCAGGGCTTGCAAAGCTTCCAGCCTAAGGTTTCCTTTTGTGTCAGCAACAAGGAAGACAGTGGCCCTTTGCATCAATGAGAGACTCCACTCCAAATGTCCTTGTCAAAGAAGGGATGGATGATAATCAGGAGTGTGAAGGCAGCTTCCTGGCCAGGGCTATGGTTTTTCCGGGGAGAGTGGATTTTTGATCATTTGGAATTGTCAAGCCTGGCCCTGTGTTCCATGCAGCTTGGTATGAAGGGAGAGGACTGGCTTCCTGGCTCAGGGTCTGAAAAGCTGTGTGATTCTGAGCTGTTTCCTGCGATCCATAATTGACAGGGTCGCACTCAGCTGTCTCCAAGCTCCCCTTTCATGTTGACATCCCAGCCCTTTTCCCTCCAGCATCTCCTAGTTCTGAAGGGCCCTGTTCGCAGCTGTCACCAAGTGGGGGCTGCACGGATGGAAGTTAACAGATGTGCTTTCAAGCCCAGACCTCTGAGCCATGGAGCTGAACCAGAGCATTTCCTAATGGTCAGAAATATCAGTCTTGCCCCCTCTTGGGTCCAGCTCCCTCCAAGCTGTGACCAGTTTCTCTAAAACTTATTTCTTTTTTTTTTTAAGTTTATTTCTACACCCAACATGGAGCTCAAACTCATGACCCCAGGATCAAAAGCCGTATGCTCTTCTGACTGAGCCAGCCAGCCACCCCTCTAAAACTTATTTCTTGTGCATCGTTTTAATCTTTGTTTGGAATAGTCTCCCAATTCATTCGGTAGACACTGTGGTCACGAGAGCTGAAGATGGGTACTCCCTGGGGTGGAAGTAGAGAGAGGGCAGCTGGGGCTGAGGAAGAGGAAGCTCAGTCCATTCTTTCTGGCAGCTTCTTGAGCGTCGTGGGCACCTGGTACGTCACTGCCATCATTATCATCAAATATATCTGGCCAGATAAAGAGATGACCCCAGGGGACATCCTGACCAGGTGGGTAAGAACCCCCGGGGGACGCCACCACTTGGGCCCCAGGAGGTGCTAGGTCAGACATCAAAAGGCCACACAGGTGCTCTTCTCAAGGCTCATTCGCTCACCAGAACTTGACTCATCGGTCATTGTAGAAAGGAGGCAGGAATCTCTTTTTATTGGAGGGAAGAGTGAGAACCAGGGATGGGGAGACTTTGCCACCAATATCCAACAAGATGAGTCATCATGAGACGAGGCCTCTGGTTATGGAGACTACCAAGGTGGACTTGTCCATTTTTACGACTTGTGCTCATCTGTAACTTCTGTATTTTCTGTATGAGGATGAAGCTGTTTTGTCATTTAAAAAAAAAAAAAAAAAAGTTTCTTGTGTTTGAAAGAGAAAGAAAGGAAAGCAAAAGCCCGAGTGCAGGAGCCAGAAATTCGGGATATTGGTCCCTGGAGGGTCTTCCAGAGCCTCAGTTTACTGACCTGTGAAATGGAGAGGTGCCCTCTCCTGTTACCAGACTTAGGGGGGTTGAATGTGTAGAATAGTGCTGGGGGAGGGTCATGGTGGGCTGAGTGAAGAGGAAGGGCATGGGGGCGGTCAGTGGCTCTGGGGGGTGCACAGGCAGCAGATCCGTGTGTGTTTGTCCACAGGCCAGCTTCCTGGGTGACCGTGTTCAATGCTATGCCCACCATCTGCTTCGGATTTCAGGTGCCGGTTGCAAGGTTCCTGTCTCGGCCTCTCAGCTTGCTCCCCACCCCAGGCTGGAACCCACATTACAGGGAGGATGGGGACATCCTGGGAGGAAAGACAGAGTTGGGGCCCTGGGACTTGTCCTGTGGCTTTTGTCCCCAAAGTACCTCCCTCTGGAAACCGGGGAAGGGGTTACTTCCCCCCATAACTGTGACCTTCACCCTAACAGTGCCATGTGAGCAGCGTGCCCGTCTTCAACAGCATGCGGCGGCCCAAGGTGAAGACCTGGGGTGGGGTGGTGACAGCCGCCATGATCATTGCCCTCGCTGTCTACATGGGCACAGGTGAGTGCTCCCCTCTGAGGGCTGGACTTGGAGTGCTCCCAATCTCCGCCTTTGTCTCCGTGTCCTCTGGCCCAGCTCTCCTGGGGATAGCCCTGCACTCCCAGCATATCAAAAACACTTCTGTAGGCATTGGCTTGAACCTGGGCTGCCTTGGGCCTCCTCCCGCCCAAATGAGAGAGATATATTCATCCATTCATTCAGCAGCTCTCAATCAGTGCCTGCTAAGTGCCAGGAAACGTTCCCAGCGTGGGGGATGCCATGAAGACTGACAGCCATGGTCCTGCTTTCGTGGAATTGACGGTCTAGGCAGAGAGAGTCTTACAGAGTAAATGAGGAATCAGTAAGGCATTCTAGACAGTGGCGAGTGCCACCGTGACAGTCAAACAGGGAAGATGTGAGTGGGACTGGGAGAGGTGGGGACAGCCAACATGGATCACAGAAAGGGGGTGGTTCACAGAAGGCTCCTCTCTCAGGGGGTGGCATCTGGGGGGCCCCCAGTGATGAGGAGCCAGAATCTGAAGGGCTGGGAGAAGAGCATTCCAGACAGGCAGAAAATGCCAAGCCCCTGAGGCAGGGACAGAAAGGTCTGGAGTGGGGTGAGTTGGGGGCGGGTGGCAGGCAGTGAGGCCAGACAGGGAACAGATAGGTCCCATTGGGCCTGAGGACTGTTGGGAGCCAGAGAGGAAGCATTTCAAGCAGGGGCACGTCTTGGCAAAAAATGGCCATGGGCGCCATGCGGGAAATGGTTTGGATGACAGAGCAGGACCAGAAGACCAGGAAGTCCAGGCCCTGTGATTCCTTCCACAGGTGTTAGGGGGCCAGCACTGTTCTACCTCTGAAGACAAAGCCAGGAACAAGAGAGGCAAATAGGCAGAGTCCCTGTCCTCCTGGGGCTCGTGTTCTGGCTGGGGAGATACGCAATGAACAAGTGTTTAAAAAAGAAAATGCAGAGAGAGAGTAGTGCTCTGAAGAAAATAGAGCAAGGTGGTGTGAGTGAGCACCCAGGGCCAGGGGTTATGGTGGATGGGCAGGGTGGACGCGTTCTCTGAGGAGCGGACATCTGAGCTGCGACCTGAACGGTGAGGGGATGGGGGTATGAAGGGCTGGGCAGACAGAATGTTCATGCAGATGCCCTGACACAGGAATGTGCTGGGTGAGCTCAAGATGACAAAGGTGGCAGTGGGGATGGAATGGGAGAAGTCAGGGAGAAGGCCTCGGGTCCCAGCCCGACACCCTCTTAGCCTCCAGAGCTGCTCCACCGCCCTCCCCATCTGATGTTGCACCCAGGAGTCAACAGTCCATCCCCTTACCCTCCCAGGATCGCCCCTGCCCAGCCCTCTTGTCCCTGTCCTCAGGCATCTGTGGCTTCCTGACCTTTGGAGCTGCCGTGGACCCCGATGTGCTCCTGTCCTACCCTTCCGAGGACATGGCTGTGGCCATTGCCCGTGCCTTCATCATCCTGAGCGTGCTCACCTCCTACCCCATCCTGCACTTCTGTGGGCGGTGAGCCCCCTCTCCATCCCATGAGGGTACTCCCTACCCCCCAGGCTCCTCTCTTTTTGTAAGCCCTTTGAACATGGTCCTTTGACCTTCCGTGAGTCCTCTAAGAACCTGTAGTCCAGATCCTTTCCTGAACACCCAGCCTTGTAGGTACCCAAGGAGAATAATAGTATCAGTTCCTAGGGTTGGGGGGGAGAGGAATCCTGGGCCAGCCCAGGCACTAAGCGCATCGCATCCGCCATCCCAGCCAGTCCCCATGGCAACCACAAGAGGAGTCCTGCTAGGCCCATTTCACAGAACAGGGAACAGTCTCAGAGCTTAGGGCCATACCCCCAGTCTACCCGCTCAGAGGTCTGGCTCTGGGAACTGGAAGTGGGGGCCTCTGAGCCACTGTCTTCGTGGGCAGGGCGGTGGTCGAAGGCCTGTGGCTACGCTACCAGGGGATGCCGGTGGAGGAGGACGTGGGGCGGGAGCGGAGGCGGCGCATGCTGCAGACCCTCGTCTGGTTCCTGCTCACCCTGCTGCTGGCGCTCTTCATCCCTGACATCGGCAAGGTCATCTCGGTCATTGGAGGCCTGGCCGCCTGCTTCATCTTTGTCTTCCCAGGTGGGGACCCCCGGCACCCCCCTCCCCGCAGCACTGGTGCCCACGCCTCTCGGCCTCGGCTCCTCCCTTGCTTTCCTGCTAGTGCTTATTAACCACCCACCTTGGGCTCTGTGCTAACCCCTGCCCCTCCTGAAAAGAAAGCACAGGCGTGTTCTCCACTTTGCTGATGAGGAGATGGGAGGAAGTTAACAGACTCAGCTATTGAGTAGCAGCTTTTTTGACCCAGATCTGTCTAGGTGCACAGCCTGCACTCTTAACCTTTCATTCACGCATCTGTTGCTGCCTGCCGATGAGGGGTTAGGCTGGTTCAGGCTGTGATAGCCCAGAGAGTGATGGGGTCCGGTGGCGGCACCCCGATGCAGAGGTCGGGAGACTTCAGACACGAGTCTGCCGCCAGATCCTGGGAAATGGTCGCATGTGCCCAGCCACGAGTTCCACCTGTACCCAGCTTATTCCTCCCCGGGAGACCAGCTGGCAAGTCCTTGCCACGGTGCTTGGAGCAGTGGCGGCCACACCTGCTCAGAAGGACACTGGGAAGGGCCCCAGGTGTTGTGGGCGCTGCTGCTGAATCACCTTCCGCTGCCGCCCGTGAGCTCTGAGGCCCGGTGCGGCCCACGGGGTGCCTGTCAGGTGCTGGCCTCCAGCTGTGTGCGGAGTGGGGGCAGGGTATTATCTGGAAGAGCACACGCAGGCCTTTCTCCACTCACTGCTACGGCCTCTTGGTAAAGGGGGAGGATGGGCCCGAGGGAAGGAGCCCACCCGAGCTCTGGGGGCCTCCTCTTCTCTTCCAGGGCTGTGCCTCATTCAGGCCAAACTCTCTGAGATGGAAGAAGTCAAGCCGGCCAGGTAAAGCAGGGCACCCTGTGGTCCTGTCAGGGAAGTGCTGGATGAGGGATGGTCTGGCAGGGGCACGGGGGGCCGAAAACAGGTAGGGATCAAGAGACTTCTGTACTTGAAAAACATAAGAGTTTTCTAAATCCCTTTTTAAATGGGTGGCACATGCTGGTTGTACCAGTTCCAATGCTACTGAAGGACTTCGGAGAAGAATGTGGAAGTCCCTCTTGCCCCTACAGCCCACTCCCCACCAATCCCTCGTCCTGAGAGAGCTCTCTGCATGAAGCATGCATGTGTATGCACAAGCACATGAGGCTGTGTCTAGTTTGGGTTTTCCAAAAATGGCTTTATGCTAGACTTTTCTACTGCTTGCTTTCTTTCACTTAACCATTTGTCTTGGAGATCACTCTCTGTCAGCACAAGAAGATCCGTCCACTTTTCTTTTCTGAGGGCTGCAGAGTGTTCTGTTTTATGAATGCATGAATACTCTTATACACGGACACCTTGGCACACCTATTTTGAGGATCTTGGCAGGATCAATTCTTAGAAGGAAATTGCTGGATTGTGGGACATGCTCATTTTCACTTTTGCACATGGGCTCCAATGTCCCTCTAGAAAGGCGGTACCAGTCAGAGTCCTAGCAGCAGAGAGGGAGAGTGCTCTCTTTTGCACAGCCCTGCCGGTATTGTATGGAAAAGCCTTTTAAGTTTTTGTTAGTCTGATACATGAAAAACACAACATTGTTTTAATATCCACATTTCTTCGAATAGTACAGAGGTTGAAAACAGGTTGCAAGCTTTTAAAAAAAAATTATTGTGCAAGAAGTATTCATTATAGAAAACTTTTTTTTTGTAAGATTTTATTTATTAGAGACACAGCAAGAAAGGGAACACAGGCAGGGGGAGTGGGAGAGGGAGAAGCAGGCTTCCCACCGAGCAGAGAGCCCGATGCGGGGCTCGATCCCAGGACCCTGAGATCATGACCTGAGCCGAAGGCAGACACTTAATGGACTGAGCCACCCAGGCACCCCTCATTATAGAAAACTTTAAAAATACAAGTCTAAGGAAGAAAATTAAAATCACCCTTAATCTCAATACCCTGCTATATTCTTATAATGCCCTGTTGCTATCTTTGATACATGGATTTGCAGATGTCTGCTTTTTTTGTAAATGGAGTGGATCACACTCCATGTGAACTGCTTTTTCCTGAACATATTTCCATCAGGACACATGCGTTCTAATCCTGGTTCTGCCCTTGGCTTGCTGTGAGTAGTTAGTGAATCCCATAAGGCCTTGGTCTCCTGACCAAGTTTAGGGATCTAGACTGGTCCCACATACCTTTGTATGAAAAGTCATCTAGAAGTAGGAAGTGTTCTACCCACGGGAGAAGTGGTATAAGTAATTACAATAATTAACTGATATATATATACATATATATACTTATATAGATATACACATTTATATATATATACTGTATATATATATATATATATATAAAAGTCTGCAAAGTCAAGCGTGGGTTGACTTACTAGGTCCCTCTCTCCCTCTACCCTACAGCTGGTGGGCGCTGGTCAGTTATGGTGTCCTCTTGGTCACCCTGGGAGCCTTCATCTTTGGCCAGACCACAGCCAACGCCATCTTTGTGGATCTCTTGGCATAACCACTGCCTCCCAGGCAACACATGGCTTTTGCCACTGGACCCAGGAACCCATCTCCTTGAGCTGTGGGGCCACCCTGAGTCCAACATCATTCGTCTTTCCTGCTGGGATGACATCTGGACATCCTTTCCCAGGGACAGTTCTGGAGTGAAAGCAGGCCTCACACCTCTGGACAGCTCAAACCCGGCAGTGCGAGGATTGGGGGAGGAGGTCTCGTGTCACAGAAGAACCTTCCCTGTCCTCCAACTCTCAACTTCTCCATGCCTGAAAAACATGGGGAAAGAGGGTCAGAACATCTCCGAAAAAAAGAACCCAGCCTGACTTTGCTTTGGAGAAAGAGTGTGGGCAAAGGGCCACCACCATCCTTCACAGAGCAGCCTGTCCTGAGCAGGGGCTGTGCTCATTACCCCGGCACTCAGGGCCTGCTCCAGTTTGTCAGCCGCTTGGCCCACAGTGGCTTCTCTGGTATCTGGCAACTTCCAAAGGGAGCACAGAGGTAAATCGAGTCAGGCCCTGTCCACTCCATCCTGGGGCCTCTTTCCCCAAACCTGAGGGTCCAGGCATCCCTGTCTTCCCCCATCCCCAGACATCATCAAGTCTAATGTTTACAAACGGTGCCAGCCCGGCTCCGAACCCGAGGCCGGGGACCGTGCCGCACCATCACGGTGCTGTGAGGACTCCTCAGTCAGCTTTTCCCTAGGCAGGACGGCTGCTTCTCTCTTCCTGATTCCAGGTGGACCCCTCGCTTCAGAGGCACGGGGTGGGTGATAGAGAAGACTGGGAGCCTTCCACACCCATGTGGGCTGGGCTGGTCGGGCTCAGGGTGAGCCTCTCTGGTAGCTTCTCTTCTGCCTACCCTCTAGTCACCTCTCCCCTGTCACCCTAGCAGGATAGCCCACGGAGAAGAAGAGCTGCTGAGTTGTCACTGAGCGTAGTCCCGCCAGTCTGGAAGTTTGCCTTCCAGTCCAGATCTTGTCTGCTCCCTCCCCACCTCATTTTTTCAGCCCCTACCCCATTTTCCTAGCTCAGTCTCTCCGGCTCACATAAGCCTGGGGGGGTAGTAGGGGATGTGCCCGACCTCTTGTCAGCTCCAAGGGTCCACCAGGCCTGGCCTGAGGTTACACTGGATTGTGCCCCAGGCGAGGTGAGGAGGACACTGTTCTCCTGGTCTGCGTTCCCCTTTCTCTCTCTGGCTGTTCACTCTGACCCACCAATCCCAGGCATTGACTCGGGCTTCCTCCACCTGGAACTCCCAGCATTTCCTCGGTCCCTCTTCAGCAGGGGTGAGTGGGACCCCCCACCCAGCAGCCCACCACTCAGGGCGCTGAGATCACAGAAGCAGAGGCTGGCCGGCGGCCGGCTGGGCTTCTGCTCAGTTTCCAGACTGGAGGACAGCCGTTCCTCACATCCCCGCGCCCTCGGGCCCTCGGGCCAGACCCTCGCTGCTGTTTTCCCTCAGCCCCAGCACGGTTAGGACGGTCCTGTCAGCAGGGCTGCGCAGCCTCCTGGTGTCGGATTTCAGCTGAGGAGTGGGGGATGGGGGGCACCGCCCAGAAAGAGACCCGTCCGGAGGAGCTGGAATCTGGCCGCTTGGCCTCACCTCAGGAGCCCCTGCCCTGCCCTCCACGCCAGGGTATTTTACTGTTTCTTTCCTACTTGTGCACATTCGTACCAGAGAGGATGGTTAATAAAAAGGGGCTGTGCTGCTGAGCTATGTGGCCTCCGTCTGGTGCTGGGGACAGAGTCCAGGCCACTGACGGGAGGGAGATAGGCTGGGTGGGGGAGGGGCTGGCGGCAGGACTTTTGGCCTTACCGACTTTGACCCCTGTCTCAGGCATGAGTGCTGCCATGCTCCCTTCACCGAGATGGGAATATGTAAGTGGCTCTTGATGCCTCCCCTTTCTTCCCCATCCCATCAGCAGCCCCCCCACCCCCACCACCAACCTCCTGTCCCGCTGCCTCTGCCTTGGTTCCAGTCCTCACGTCTTCCCCACACCGCACGGCTTCAGACCAGTCTCTGTGCTGTGTGTCTCGCTGACCTCACATTCTGGGACGAGCTTCAAAGTCCTGAACAACCAGCCTCATCCCTTCAGAGGCATGTGTTGAGCAGGCCCTGGTTATAGAGCCAGGCACTGCTCAGGGCCGGCAGGAAAATACTCAGCAAAACAGCAGCTCCACTCTCAGACTCCTGCGTATGACTGATGCCAAGCAAGTGGCCACACAAGTACGTACTTGCAAGTTATGATATGTGCCAACAAGAGAATATATAGAATGTTCTCTTTGGGGGCCTGAAGCTTGTCTGGGGAGTCAGGGAAGGCTTCCTGGAGGAAGCGGCATTTGAGCTGGCCCCTGAATGATGAGTAGGAATAAACTAAGTGGGGAGAGGTGGGGGAACCTTTCCAGGCCATGGGAACTGCATGGGGAAAAATTTCGTGTTTGGTACTTGGCATTTGAAGAACTGAAAAGTGGCCATTGTCTTTGGGTTATCACCTGGGTGTGGGAGAGCAGCTGGGATAAGACTTGCCCGTAAGGTAAAGTCTAACCAGCTCATCTTCCACCACACTCCATTTCCCTCCTGGGAATGGGAGTGGGGACTCTCCAGAGAGAAAATACTTCTGAAGTGGCCTAGTATTTTTGAAGGGCTGGAGGGGTGAGACAGCTTTGGGCCATGCTTCACACGGGACTATGGAGACCAGAGCTGGAGGTTTGCTTTCACTTCCTCTGGGTGAACAGAGGGAAGGTTTACACCTAAGCTAAAGGCAAACAGCCGTATTCGTCCATTCATTCATTATACTCAAGACATTCCCTGTCTTGTTCACCATAGTTATAAGCACTTGATCATATATTCCCCGTTACACTGTAATCTCCATGGGAGCAAGGGCACATCCCCTGTTCAAAAAACAAAATTCAGGGGCACCTAGGTGGCTCAGTCGGTTAAATGTCCAACTCGATTTTGGCTCAGGTCATGATCTCAGGGCTGTGAGATGGAGCCCCACATAGGGCTCTGCGCTCAGCATGGAGCCTGCTTAAGATTCTCTCTCTACATCTGCCCCTCCTCTCTCTCTCAAAAAAAAAAAAGTTCAACTGAGTGAAATTGAAGATCAAATAGGCTTTGTTAGGCAATTCATGAATCAGGCAGTATCCTATCTAGCAAGTACGGAGACGCTCCAAGGAGTTGTGCAAAATGGAAGGTGTTGAAGGGAAGGGGAGTGGGACAATGTGGTTATTAGCAAAAGAAAAGAAAGGATTGCTTCAGGCAAAGTCACCTCTTAAAGGGAGGGGCAGGGGATCTTAGGTGGATTACTTCATCTTCCTTTGGGGGATGGAGAGGGCCCAGGTGACAGATTGCCTCCTAGGTGCTGACGAGAAATTCCTGGCTCATCAGTTAAAAGACATTTCTGCGGGAGGCTGAAACTGCATTGAAGTTTCAGGTTGCTATCCCGGGGGCAAACAACTCCACCTTGGGCCTGTGGTTTTCTTTTTAACACTTCTGTCCATCTGGAATCTTGGCCCGGAGCCTGGCACATAGTAAGCACGGAGCCTGGCACGTAGTAGGCACGGGTCCTATAGTTGTGGAGCAAATGAATGAATAGCAACGACCATTTGTTAGGGTTCTGACCTCGTGCCAGCACTTCACCTGCATCATCCTTTTTTTTTTTTTTAAAGATTGTTTATTTGAGAGAGAGAGTGACAGCACGAGTGGGGAGGGGAGGGGAGGGAGAGGGAGAAGCAGGCTTCCCGCAGAGCAGGGAGCCCTACGCGGGGCTCGACCCCAGGACCCTCAGATCATGACCTGAGTGGAAGGCAGACGCTTAACTGACTGAGCCACCCAGGCAGCCCTGCATCATCCTCTCTTGATCCTTACAATAGCTCTGAAGAGAAGGCTAAGAGAGATTATCAGATAGTTTGCTCAGGGACACACAGGTAGTAAAATTGGAGTCAGACCACACTCATCATGCATGGATAAACAAGTGAGCAGAAGACTCTCTCAGAGCCAGCCTTGTGCTTTCTGACCCCTGAAGGCAAGCTCAGGAACCTTCGATCCCTGTGCTGGCGCCAACACCAGATCTTGGAACCCTTGGATCGTCCTCCCAGCCAATCCATGTCAAGTGCTGGGATGCCTGCTGACTAGTAGCTCTGGGCAGAGTGCTTCACCCCTCCGGGCTTCTGTTTTCCCAGCTCTAAAATCAGAATGATAAAAACTGACCTTATTTACCTCCCAGGGGAAAAGGGAGCCTATGTAAAGACAGTGCATGAAAAATGACAGAGTGCTTTGTAGCCAGAAATTCACGTTCACAGAATAAATAGGAGAACTCAGTGTCTCCTCAAGAAGACAAACGAATTCCCCTACCACTTCCTGGGAGTCAGGGTGCTCCTCAAGCTTTAAGGTACAGACAAAATTTTTATCTCCTTAGGATACAAATTCTGATTCAGTAGGTCTGGGGTGGGGCCTGAAGTCTGTATTAAGGTTTTAGGTTTTTTGTTTTGTTTTGTTTTTTTAAGATTTATTTATTTATTTGAGGGGGGAGGGGCAGAAGGAAAGGGGGAGAGAGAATTCCAAGCAGACTCCCCGCTGAGCACAGAGCCCTACGCGGGGCTCCAGTCTCAGGACCCAGAGATCATCACATAAGCCCATCATGACATGAGCCAATCATGACATGAGCCGCAACCACGAGTCGGACGCCTACTCCACTGAGCCACCCAGGCGCCCCGTGAAGTCTGTATTGTTAATACTCCCCCATGTTGCCCATGCTCTGGTCCTTGGACCACACTCAGTAGCAGGGGACTGGTGGACAGAGCAAGCCTTTGGTCTCAGACAGACCTGGGGTGGATTTTAGCAATGCTCCCTACGAAGCAGAAACTCAGAGAATCAATTCACGTCTCTCAACCCCGCTTTTCTCACCTCTAAAGTGGGAGCAATGGTGCCCACCTTGTAGATGTCAATATTGTAAATCCAGGGACAAGTGGCGTAATAACATGCTTGAAGTGCCTGGAAGCTGGCAGGGATCATGTTGATCATGTCCCTGTGCTGGAAGGAAGGAGAGTAACTGCAGTGTCTTCCTTTGGTCAATAGAGGTCATCTTCGTGTGTTTCTTCTTATGAAAGAGGAGACTCCTCTGAGGGCTCCTGGTGATTGGCGATGGCCCAATGCTCCCAAGTGATGCCCTGATACTGGGGGCAGGACCACCTCCCTAGATTCTGCGCTCCAGTCTGGTGGGGGAATCAGCCAACCAAATAATCACAGAAATCAGTTTTGCTAGATGTAGATTAGATATTCCAAATCCAGATTTGGTAATAATTCATTGCTGTGATACAATGAAACAAATTTCAGTAGGCGTGGAAGAAGGCCAGAGACATTGTAGCCAGGAAGAAGGCAGACACACTGTCCTGTGCAGGAACACTCTGTTTCCTAGGCACAAGATTCTTTTAGTCATTCCTCCATTAAAAATGAACTTCACGTGTTTCCAGTCCAGACTGTAAGAAGTTTAGAAGTGGCTCATCCTAACAAATAAAAAAGCTGAACAAACTGCAGAGTCAACAACTCCTCTTAGATCGGTAAGATATCAGATTACAGGGCACACCCCTGCCCTCCCCCATCCCCCGCCCCCAAAACTGGAGAGAGTGGCAGGCAAGAATAGGGCAGAAGCCCACAAGCAGAAAGCTCTGCAGGAACCCATTTCAGGGTAGAGCCCCCAGAGCTCTAACTGATGAATTGCTGAAGGCTCAGCATGCACAAATCTGAGAGAGAAAAACACAGGGGGGACCCAGTCATGGGAAGGGGGCCCACTTCGGTGCATTTTACCTCCTGGAACTCTACAGATTCTCATAGTAAACAGCGGAGAAAAATCCCCTTGAGTTTCCAGGAGGGGAGAGGAGAAGACACCATTTTGAAACGTGCCAGAGCATTGTGTTCTTTAACAAGATCTGCCCTCAAGGGAAACTTAAAATTTAACCAGAGCCTATCCTGCTGGGATTTTTATCAGAGCCGAACTGACCTAAGGGAAGGCACATACCCAACTCCAGCCCCCTCTAGCCTTCCATGTGGAGGAGAGGAAATAGAGAGGTCCAGCCCACTCTACTGGCCCTGTGCCATCTAGAGAGGACAGGAGACAAGAATTAAATGATTTGAGAACAATCAACTGCATAAATCTTAATATTTTAAAAAGAAAGTTAAGTTGTATTTTGGTAATTCACGAACTATCATGCAAATAAAAACTCGGCAAGCAGAGAGGACAGGAGAGAATGAGAAGCGTGTGTGGGGCACACAGAAACACTGAAGACTGTGGTTGAGTCATAGGACTACAGAATGCTTCCCTTCCTCCAGTACCTGGTCACTGTTTTATAAAAAGCCTATTTACAGCAGTTCCTTTTACCTAGTCCATTATGTCCAGTTATCAAGAAAAAATTATGAGACCTATTAAAGGCCAAAAATACGGTGAGATATGGCAAGAGTGATGGAATTAACAGACAAGGAATTTTTTTTTTTTTT